CCCCAAAACCCCAAAACCCCAAAACCCCTATACAATTTAGCTAAATTGAATTCACCCAGTTTATTTCTGTTGCAAATTTTCAAATATATTTTCAGTAGAATTTCCTCATCTAATGTATCTATGCTCACAAAGTTGGCTATTAATGTTTGTAATCTAACTTAGAGAGTTAATATTCTTGCCACAGAAAGAGTTCTTAAATGTTTCTCCATACATTCCAGAGATAGTATTGATAATCACATCTTCATCCTCAATTCGCGGAGTTGACTCATTAGAGGTGATTTCAGATTGGTTTACACTCGGCTTTTTCTTATTGTGAAAATTCTTACAGCTGCTAGCCACAAAGTTTAGTGTCATATAATTCTCATGTAAAGGCTGCTTTAAGAATGGTGTTGCCTTCTTAGACTTGGCTAACTTAGAACTTGATTTTTTCTTATTACACTCTGCTGTATTTCTTCTGTAATGAAGTCTGACGACCGAAGGTTTCTTAAGCCCATCTGTAGATCAATGAAAGCTCTTTCCATTAATATCAATATTTTCTTTTCCTAACCATCTGTTCGATGGATGAATATTTGGCCCAAGGAAGCTTCTCTTATGAGTTGATTTCTTCTTACTTCCTGTATTGAAAGACTTAGATGCTTCTTTCTTATTTGGCTTTTTAATATCTTTCCTCTTCGAGAGAATCTCTGTATAACTATCTATTAAGGAGCCATAGTCAGCATCAAGTGCATCAGTGGTAAATTGGTTTCTGGTAAATTTCTTGAAAGATGACTTATTCTTGCAGTGACTAGCTATAGAGACTTGTGCTTTAGCTTTGACTTTTGAAGAGCTAAATTTTTCTTTTCCCTCACGATACTTTCCTAGAGTTCATATCTAACTTCCTTTGGGACTTCTTTGGTACTCTTTCAATAGACTTGATTCTAGCTGGGCTGACCTTCGCGGTATTGACAAAACTACGGTATTTTATCACAGAGGAACTCTCTTTAAATTTCTGATAACTAGTCGTAAAAGAGCCCTTATTCTTAGAAGTTGAGTAGCCGGATGTTTTATGTGTACTACTGCCTATAGACTTCTTACTCAGATTCCTTCGAAATCTCTTAGATTTGGGCTTCTTCTGTCACTCATCAGGGTTGATCATATTCTTCAAGTTCTTCTTGTTCTTCAAAATAAAATTCTGGCTGCTAGCATTCACCTTGTGTAATGGAGACTTAGCCTGGAAAATAAAGGACGAGCTTGCCTTCGCAGCCATCTTCTGGTGATATTTACTCTTTGAATTTGACTTTTGTTTATTTTTCGTTAAAGGAGTTCATAATGCAGAAGTGCATCTTCCGGTGCAGATCTTTCAGCTTAGAGCTCATATCTACCTTCTTGACTCTTTTAATGTACTCCTGATAAACAGGAAGGTTTACCTGGGGATTTGACTCTGAGTTCTTGATGACAGAGGAAGGAGCACATCCAGTATGTCAAAAAGAAGCAAACTGTTGTCCCTTCCCGCTTCGATATTTCTTTGCAAGAGAGTCAAGATTCTTAGTAGCAGGAGATTTCAGGCGTAAAGTTTTCTTATTTTTATCCTTCTTTGAGTCTTTATTTATCACAAAAAAGACTTCCATAGTATTACTTGCCGATGCTTTGGGTTTCGACATTTTCCTTTGCTTTTTCTTATTAGGACATTTAATTTTAGGTGCTGATGGAGCCAAGCAGTTAGGATCCTCATTTTCACAATCCTTCTTTTTTGGAGAACAATTTAGAGGCCGAGGATTTGAAATTGATTTTGACGGTTTTAATTTATTTTCCTCGAGTTGTCTTATGTTCAGTCTGGAGGAAATTGAATTATTTAACCAATTTAAAGATTTGAGAATTAGCAGGAGAGGAATTTTAGCTGAGTCTATGGCTGATAGATCTTACCTCTCAATAGTTTCCTCGTATGTTTCATTCCAGTTGTCTTGACCAATTTTATTGAAATCATAGAATTTAGGGCAGTCAAATTCCAAATATTTCTTTAAAGCATGTAAATCTATAAAATTAATTGATCTAATTCAAATTAATCATACACTAAAAATATTCCTAACAAGCCAAATGCTTTAATATTTAATAATTCATCTTCTCTTTAAAATTATCAAAATTAATCTTCCCTTTATTTCTCAAAAAGCTATTTCACACTATCCGCTTCAAAATCCAAATCCAAACACTAATAACACCTTAAAACACCCCTATCTTCCCATTAAAACCTAAAAAAGCCCTATTCAATTCCTACCATATCTCTCTGTCTCCTCTATTTCCGAGTTTCAACTTTCAAATTGCTGAGTTTCAAACATTTTTAAATTTTTGAGCGGAATATAAAATATTTTAAAATCAACTGCATTTTCTCCATAGGGGTTTTGGGGTTTTGGGGTTTTGGGGTTTTGGGG